GACAGTAGCATCACTAAGGTCTCATGGCAGTGTGTGACAGTAAGTATGTATGTGACTGTAGATATGTGTGTGGCAGTAAGCATGTGCCTAGATTCCCACTTTTATTGAGTAATCGCCACTATGGAGATGATGACCCTTTGGGAACAAGTAAACAGCGTGTACACACAAGCGGATCCTCACGGTCTGAAGAGAATGATGCTGCCAAGAGTGACTAGAGGTACAGACCAACGCTCAACATTCAGAGAAGGGGCGAGGCGGACACACAATCAAGCTGTTACCGTTATCATCGGCATTGGAATTCCTTGTTTACTGCCGAAGATTGGGATGGAGCGCTCACTGGAATACCCAAGTGTTAGGAAACCGGTTCTTGACATCATAACTTAGTGATGTCAACATCATGCCGACTGTCTTTACGTCTAATGACATTCCTTGCTACCATTGCGGATGGGTCAACCTAGGAGCCAAGGCCAATTTAAAAAAGAAAATATTCGACTCTATAAGAATTTGAAACTAAGACCTTTGGGCGGGCAGGCTAGCGCTTAGCCACTAAACTACCGACACTTTCTAAAGAAGCGTTAACATGATATTAATTACAAATAGAAAAAAAAAAAAAAAAACACACACACACACATAAACACAACAGAACGTTTAGACCAGGGTCTTTGTCGACCGACAAAACCGAACCATCGTAAACTGTCCGCCCAGTCATTTGGAAAAAGAAATGTTTAACTGGAAAAATAGGAAGAACTGTTACGCAGCAAAGCATAACAGAAATGGTGCAGTCGTTAAATTTTTTTTTTCACAAGCTGTGTCACGGAGTCAAACCAGTCAAAGAAAAAAAAAAAGCAAAAAGGTTAAAGTCGACAGGATCGACTTTATTGCATCGGGTGTTGTCCCACATGTCTCAGTTTCTGTACACAGACCGGTTAGCCGCCTGCCGAGAGCTTCACACGAAACTCGAACTCCGTAGCTCCGGTAACAGTCCTAGGGGGTAAAAATTGCAATAAACCAAATGGCGCAGCCGTGTTACGACCTTTACAGCGCGAGGCAAATGTCTCGACCACTTCGACACGGAGAATCTCCATCGCCCTCTTTCCCCACCCCCTACACAGCCATACAATATTTTAATAACAAAGAGCACCTTAGATCACTGGTGCTTAACCGTCCTATTGCCGCGACTTTTGAATACAGTTCATCATGTTGTGGCTACCTCCAACTATACAATTTTTTTCGTCGCTACCTGATTGCTTCAAAAATATGTATTTTGTGACGGTCTTTGGCGACACCTGTGAAACTGTCGTTCGACACAAAGAAGGGACGCAACCGATAGGTTAAGAAACTTTGGCTTAGATGGTCTGGTTATCTGCCGAGAATGCCTTGGTACCACCTGGCAGCAGAAAGAGAGCTATCTATGCTAAAGAATTATATTAAACACACATCAGGGTAAAGACCACAGAACATAAGGAACGTCGGCATCGAGCACAGACTTTAAGACACAAAGATCAATTCTGTTCAACGCATTATACGATACACGCATCGCCCATTCATGAACACGTGTGTGTGTGTGTGTGTGTGTGTGTGTGTGTGGATTCTTCAATTCTTCAGAATGAAAAATATCTCATGCAATAAATCGCTCTCATTTAATGTCAGAAAGTGGGTGCTAAAATGTTACACAGAATTTCTTCTCCTGTGTGGCAGCGAATCTTGAAATGTCTCTGAACAAATTAAGAAGAATTTGGAAACAACAGAGATGTGGTTTCTGAGACGAATGTTACGAATACCTTAGTAACTTACAACGATTGCTTGAAAGAAGCTAATGAAAGTAGATCTCTATATACAACAACAAGAAATAGACAAACACTGTTCTTTGGCCACATAATGAGAGATATTGGAGAACATCGTGACAACTGAAAAGATCAGTGGAAAAAAGTTCAGAGGCAGACCAAGAGAGATTATGCTTAATGGGCTAAAACGATAGCATGGAAGTATATCATCAAGAGAGCTGTTCCGAGCAACCAGGGATCGTAATCTGTGGAGACGCATGAGCGCCTACGCCAGTTGGCAGGAAACATGATGGTAATGATAGTGATGAAAATTCTTCCCCACTTGATTGGCGGTCAGCTTCAAACTAACAGCCGTTGATCCACCAGTCTCATAGTCTCTTCTACAAATACAATGGTAACACAGCATGGTAACACAGCATGGTAACACAGCATGGTAACACAGCATGGTAACACAGCATGGTAACACAGCATGGTAACACAGCATGGTAACACAGCATGGTAACACAGCATGGTAACACAGCATGGTAACACAGCATGGTAACACAGCATGGTAACACAGCATGGTAACACAGCATGGTAACACAGCATGGTAACACAGCATGGTAACACAGCATGGTAACACAGCATGGTAACACAGCATGGTAACACAGCATGGTAACACAGCATGGTAACACAGCATGGTAACACAGCATGGCTAAATATATGGGTTGCTATAAGAGAATATTCCTCTTTGGGTCATAGGGCAAAAGTGTGGAAAAGGAGGAAAAGTGAGAAACGGCGCGGAGGGGGGGGGGGGGGGAAGAGGGGCTTCGTTTCCTTCGAAATCGAAGTGAATCCACCCGAGGCCTGAAACCAACAGTCAAGCAAACAACCTATTTAAAGCAGATACACAAGCAAGTTCTCGAAAAATATCAAAGTCCAAAAGTGGACGAACAAACACCACTTTCCACCACAGTTTACAGTCTGTGAATGTAAAAAGTAGATGTTTTCAAAGCAAGGTGTTTTAATGCTTTATTGTCTCTTATGAAAGAAGAAAATGAGGTGGGATTAACACGAAGAAGAAGAAGAGGAGGAGGGGAAAAAGAACAAGAAGAAAAGCATACAAAATCATGCGTGGCACAGGATTAGATTATTTCTAGCGACTGACTGACCCCATGAATGATCCAGTTTTCCAGAATGACCTGAGAAAATAGTTCATTCTTTCAACCGAACCAAAGTGATGCACAAGCGTAACCTATCCGGCCCTCTTGACGCACACATGTAACCCATGCCACCCTCGTAACGCACAAGTGTAACCTATCCGGCCCTCTTGACGCACACATGTAACCCATGCCACCCTCGTAACGCACAAGTGTAACCCGTGCGACTCTTGTGACGCACACGTGTATTCCATGTGACCCTCGTGAAGCACAAATTCAACCCATGAGGCGGTCGGTTGACTCTCAGTTTGACATACCTGGCCTATACATCACTAAAACTTTAAAGGGCGCCTGTATCAAAATGTAGTTGGTAAGACTAAAACTGTAAACATTTCTGAACATTTCCAGATGCCACGCGTGTTTGCCCTTAAATAGTTCTTTTATTTCAGTTTAAAATGCCTGCAAACATTCTCGATGAAACTGTGTTATCAGGTTTTCTAAGTCTGTGTACTTTCTAATCACTGTCTTTTCCTCACCTCTTGATACAGTGGAATTAGTTTTACTTCTCTGACAAACTTCCACATTAGTGATTGCGGCTGGTACATTACCTCACTGTTTCTTCCTCACTGTTGCATTTCTCAGTGTTACAGTAACTCACTGCTCTAGTGCAGTACCTCACTCTTGCTTTTCCTCAGTGTTACATTCACACTCTGTTGCATTATGTCAGTGTAACATTATCTTTCTGTTTCAGTACCTCACTGTTGTATTTACCCAGTGTTACGTTGCCTCACTGCATATCAAACACTAGATCACTAATTATACGACCTTTGAGAACACAGTGAATGATGATTTTGATGATGATGGTGGTGGTGGTTGTAGTGGTGGTAGTAGTTCTGGCGGTGGTGATGACGATTATGCTGATAATGAAAAGATTAAATTCGATTTTTTTTTAAATTTGAATTTTATTTTATTTATGGCATCATACAGAGTTATCGAGACACTGCTTGCCACGGTACACTCCCTGTAGTAGTCAATCTTCAATGGGAATCATGCGTTGAATTTTGAATGGAATATATTCTCATTTTCTTTAACTTTCGATGGAAATAATGTCTCTGCCCTCCACTAATAAACAGTTCATTTACATAACCTACCGGATAACTCTTACTGAAAAAATGATGCACATCTTATTGCCGTTTTTCCTGTCAAATTTGCATGAGACTGGTTGATTGGTAATCCCCTAAATGATATCCCTGTATCAACGTATTAGAATAGCCCTAATTCGTTCTGTACAAGTTGAACTCTTAAACTTCATCATAATCATCACTATTATCATTGACTGTTTTGGTGGGACCCTCAATGCCCCAACAAAAGGCTGTCGGGTTAAGAATCTCCTCGCGTTGCCTGCTCCAGTAGTTGGAAGGGCTCTTATATCAAAACACTCTGGGTTACTTATTTCGTTTAAGGAAGGTGGGTGATACAAGCTCTCAGTTATTCTTTACCACGCATTAGACGATATTTCTTTCTTTCAGCTTGATGTCCAGGTACTTCCTCTGTGAAAATCTGTTAGATATTACTAGAACTGTGGGGCGTGTTCAAGCCACAGGCGCCCAGATAGTTTTACTGCAAACACATTCAAGGTATATTATGATGATTGGTAGAATAAAATCAAGCAGCTGTTAGGAAGCAAGTATGCGAAATCTGTTTAACAGAAGTGCTTAGCCGATGATGTATGACGTAACTTTACTCAATAGTATGAGCGTCAGAATACTTTCCTCTTCCACTTCCGACAACCCTTTGTGTCTACTCCTTTGCGAATAATAACTTTGTTTAGCTCGGACCCATTATGCTAATATTTGTTTTATACTTTTATAATAATGACAATGTGGCGAATTCTGTTTAATGTATATTTCTTCTTCGTGCATTCCTAACTTGAACCCCCCCCCCCCCCACCCCCACTATATTATAACTAACATTCTGTTCTAGGAGCTGCAGTTGTATCTTCTCGATCGTAATATCTTCTTGGTGGATCGCCCCATCCTCCGCCAAGAGTGTGGGGTCCCATAACAGAATCAAACACTCGTTTCCACCTATGAACTTGATATCCAGCAAGTGAATCTAATCCTTGTTTTTTCTTATCTCGTTTCCACCCATGAACTAGATATCCACCCAGAGAATCTAACCCTCGTTTGTCCTCATCCCGTTTCCAACCGTGAACTTGATAATCACCCAGAGCTTCTAACTCTCGTTTCTGACCCTGAATCTCGCTGTCACTGTCCCAAGCCCTATCGGATGGATTTAAGGAACCAGTTTCCTTACTTTTTGTGTTTGGGGCGCTTGAGATGTCCTGATTACCACTAATCGACCTGGTGAACCTTTTCCTCAATAAATAGACCTGAAAACCACCTAGTGGATCCAGCCTTCCTTTCTTACTGTCTTGTTTCAAGCCCTGATTCTTAGATCCATGAAGACTATCTAAACCTCGTTTCCACCCGTGAACTTGGTATCCACCCAGACTCTCTAAACCCCCTTTCCACCCATGATCCTGGTTTCCACCAAGTGAGTCTAAAGAACGTTTCTGCAGCCCACGTTCTCCTTCAGCATCTACTGTAGAATAATGACTCAATGATTTAGTAACCTCGACTGCGTCTCGTTTCGTGCGACTACGTGATCCATATGCATGGTTAACAACAGTTTTGATTTCCGGCTCGTTTAGATACTCTCGCTGTACTTTTCGTCTGTCAAATCCATAGTTATCCACGCTTCTTTTGAATCCATGAACCTCGGACCCACCTAAGGAATCGAAGTAGCGCTTTCCTTTCAAGGTATCTGATTGACTGCCATAGAGAAGTCCCAAAACACGTTCGCTGCTGGGTTCAGGAGACGAGTGCCAGGTATTTTGAGGCAGGTCGGCCAGTTTAAAAATAGTTTGGTCTTCTTCTGATGTTGACGTGTCGTCGCTTGTAACAGAAGGTTGGTTGTTGACTCCGTTTTGATTCATGGATTTGGCGAGGGTTAGAAATCGGAAAAATGGCACGAGTGGCGGATATTCCTTGGACCACATCTAAAAAAAAAAAAAAAAAGAATAAAAGCATTTACTAGAATGTCATAGTTAATACTGAGCATTTGACAAAGGTTCTGAGTCACTTTAAATAAACAGACCCAATTTTTTCTACTTCGCGATCACCGGCTGCAATTTTCGGCGGAAAATTCTGGTTGTTCGTAGACATCTATTTTCTTGTCCTGTTCCAGAATCTGAGTGTTGCTTGCGTGCACTGATCTGACTCATGTGTATGCAGACTGTTGGTTCATTGCCTCTTCCTTTCAGTCGTCTCTTACAACGGGTAGGCATTGGGTATTTCACGGTTGTGAGTCCTGGACTCTCATCTAGTCATTGAGGAAAAGGATCGGAGCTTTTGAATTAAAATGTTTCGGACGAATTCTCAGAAAACCATTGGTCAAGAAAAAGAAAAAAATACTACACAGGGTAAACATTTGGGACAACTGGCACATAAACAGTATCCTGTCCAGAAAGTCTTAAGTATTTTAACCACAAACATCACTATGGCCTGGAAAAGCGTGTTATGTTTATGTCATAATATGCATATTATAAATATTAGGTCAAAAACAAAAGCATGGGAGGTAAATATGTGCGCAAGCTCGCGCGCGAACACAGACACATACATACATACATACATACATACATACATACATACATACATACAGACAGACAGACAGACAGACAGACAGACAGACAGACAGACAGACAGACAGACAGACAGACAGACAGACAGACAGACAGACAGACAGACAGACAGACAGACAGACAGACAGACAGACAGACAGACAGACAGACAGACAGACAGACAGACAGACAGACAGACAGACAGACAGACAGACAGACAGACATACATACATACATACATACATACAGACATACAGACACAGACAGACATACATACATACTACATACATACATACATACATACATACATACATACATACATACATACATACATACATACATACAGTACATACATACATACATACAGACATACATACATACATACATACATACATACATACATACATACATACATACATACATACATACATACATACATACATACATACATACATACATACATACATACATACATACATACATACATACATACATACATACATACATACATACATACATACATACATACATACATACATACATACATACATACATACATACATACATACATACATACATACATACATACATACATACATACACATACATATATACACACATAAACACAAACATACACACACATACATACGTACATACATACATACATACATACATACATACATACATACATACATACATACATACATACATACATACATACATACATACATACATACATACATACATACATACATACATACATACATACATACATACATGCATACATGCATTCATGCATACATGCATACATACATACATACATACATACATGCATACATGCATTCATGCATTCATGCATTCATGCATACATACATTCATGCATTCATGCATTCATGCATTCATGCATTCATGCATACATACATACATGCATTCATGCATTCATGCATACATACAGACAGACAGACAGACAGACAGACAGACAGACAGACAGACAGACAGACAGACAGACAGACAGACAGACAGACAGACAGACAGACAGACAGACAGACAGACAGACAGACAGACAGACAGA